TTTTAGAAACCATATTTAAATCTGCTTTGCGCATTTAGATAAAGCGCGGGTCTAAAACAGAAGGCCTTAAAATTCTAACACCCTACATACATCATGCGAGTCCTTCTGTTGTAGGCCTTCTAAAATTGAAAAATGACCCGCATACCCGCAACCGAAGGCCTTCGGTCAATATTTGAGAACCGCACGCCGACAAACAGAAGGCCTTACTTTTTACCTATGTCACCCCTCCTTATATTTATATATATATATATATATATATATATATATATATATATATATATATATATATATATATATATATACATATATATATATATATATATATATATATATATATATATATATATATATATATATATATATATATATGTATATACATATATATATATATATATATATATATATATATATATATATATATATATATATATATATATATATATATATATATACATATATATATATATATATATATATATATATATATATATATATATATATAATATAATATATATATATATATATATATATATATATATATATATATATATATATATATATATATATATATATATATATATATATATATATATATATATATATATATATATATATATATATATATATATATATATATATATATATATATATATATATATATAGAATCAGGCTTGGTCCGAAAGCGGGTGGATTTTTTAGTCGTTTTGAGAATATTTAAATTTATGTATGTTTCCTTGTTTGTCCGCAAAATAATAAGTTCATTTTATCGTAAATTTTAAAATATTTTGTACATAAAAACATACATAATCTCAAACATCTTAGTGCGGAAAAATAAAAAAATATTCGCGATAACAAAAAACCCGCCAAATCTACGAACAACCAATTCTAATGGTTCCAAATATATTAACTGAAATTTCTAGAGTATTCAAAAAATACTAACCGAATGTCCTGAGCATTCTGTTGAAATATTTAAAAAAATTGTATCACTTGAATTTTGTTACGTTTTCGTGAGATTTCTAGCATAAAATATTTTAAGAATATACTATCAAACGAACTACTATTTTAATTCTTATAGCCACATCTACAAAGCTATAAATGTTTTAAACTAATATTATTTGTTTACAATAATAAATGATTAAAATTTATATTTTTTAACTTGTCAATGTTTCGTAAATATATTATAGATTTTATTAGTATATTCTTATTCCTTATATAACTTCCAGCTACAGTAGACCGACAAACAATTGAATTAATCCATTTTTCATAATTATTTTAGAATTGGTCAACTGTCTGTGAAGCAACAACAAAATCTGGTAGACTATTCCAATATGGTACTACACGATTGCATGAAAAATTATGTCTTGCTGAATTTCTAGTAAACTCTTTATGGAATTTGAATTTTGCGTAGACCACCAACTGGGTCGTTGACTGTTAATGGGCTGAGTGCATGATTTTGCCACTTAACTATATTAAAGTTCTAGGAAATTTTAAAATATTGTATTAGGAAATTTTAAAATATTGTAACTAGGTACTTATAATGTTAAATGTTTACTTAAATGGTGTTTAAAGTTATTATTTTATTACTATTTGTAAATATCCAAGAAAATTAATCTTCTGAATATATATACGATAGAATGATTATCTGCACATTTCATAATGCTTTTTTACTTATATTATATTAGATAAAATTAAATACTCTGCTTTGGTCAGTTTTATGGTATTTCTTACTTCTAATTTTTTATTTTGTTTGTCAATATTTCATCTTTACATAAGCTGATTTTATTATATTTTATTACATATAAAGTTAAAACTTTTCTTTTTGAGAATGTTTTAATGACAATGATGAGAATTCTTAAAGGTAAACTAATTTTTTTAATTTTAGATATGTTTCGATGATGTTTGATGTCTATATTCATATATATGTCTATATTCATATATATATATATATATATATATATATATATATATATATATATATATATATATATATATATATATATATATATATATATATATATATATATATATATATATATATATATATATATATATATATATATATATATATATATATATTATATATATATATATATATTAAAATTTCCGTGATTTACATTTCACTTCAACAGCAAATACACAAATAAATAAAATGTTTTTTATCTGAAAAATTTAACATAAGTTTAGCTTTAATGGTCAATCCCAACGTTCAACTTTTTTGCCATTTAAATCATCTTTTCTTTTAATTCTCACCATGTTATTTTTAACTCTACTAATGGTGGTTATTAAAACTTTGATTGATTCCTTTTCTAAAAGTTTCCTTATCGTTCTATACGTATATCTAAGTTGTACCAACAATAAAATACGTTCTTTAGTATTTTTGATTTTTTTTTTGCTTTGTTAACATGTATTTACAAAGTAAAAAAAATATCAAACGTTACTATATTAAGATATAATCATATTCTCATATTATAAAATTATAAAATGGTTCTTAAGTTCAATATAAAATTAAAAATGTAGTTTTGATCCTAAATATAATGTTTAAAATCTAAACTAATTTTTTTAATTATATATTGAAGTTGAGAAGCATTTTATAATTGTATATTTATTTTATTTCACAAATTACTTTAAAAAAATAATATATCAGGCTGTTTAAATTTTTATTATATACAAATAACATTGTAAGAGCGTGGTTACAATTTAGAAAATCTTAAAACATAAAAAAAATTGATAATGCTTAGCATGCATGTTACTTATATAATAAAGTAACGCAATACAAATTTTAAACATACAATAGCAATACATTTTATATATACAGTAGCAGTTCAGTAGATTAGATTAAAATGACCACATTTATAAAACAAAAACTAGTTAGCCGGAACATTATTTTTCAAAGTTGACAAAGTAGAGTTAATTTTAATTTTAAAACTTTTGATATTTTTGGCATTAACGATATCAGACAACAAATTATTTCAATTATTAACAACCCTGAGTGAGAAAGAGTATTTACGGACATTGAGTTTACACTTTAGTTAGCGTAATTTGAATCTAATACCTCGAGTGTAAATATAGTTGTTTATTAAAAAGAAACTTGATTTATTTAGAAAAAATAAATTGTTCAGAATTTTATACCATTAATAAACCAGCGGATTTATATTGACTTGTTTACTCATAAATCATTGTTTTATCATTTGCTAAAGATGACTAGAGTGTGAGTTATGGTTCCTCTCTTCCCGAGTTTCTAACTTTTACTCCTCCTACAAAATACTCTTTACATTAATTTTTTTTAACGTAACTGGACGACTCCATTGATCACTTTTTGCGATTTTTGTGTCGCATAAACAAAAAAATTTATTCTTTGTGGCTGGTGAGCCCCAACTTTTTCCAATGTACATCACAACAACAAAACGGAAATTAGGCTGGATGTGGTTGCGGCGATCAATAACCTAATGACTACGCTAACACTCACATACTTCAGTCGGAAGCTCCACAATGCACGTCGGATCAGCGTTCACTGACTATGTGCTCGGATCTAAAATCTCACTTCATAGCACATCATTCCACATCAGCACAGGGCAGTAGCTCTTTTGGCTAAGATTGATGGCTTGAAGCCTACGGTGACTAATGTGTGCATTCGATCAATTAAAATCCATTCTGTAAGTCTTACATCTGGTTCTGATGTAAGCCCATAAGCCCAAGAAGTGGGTGTGTTCAGCTTTCTGTTCACTCGATTTGAAAGTAAAAAAAAACATAACGAGACCATACTAGACGACCAAACGGTACGTACTAATGCACTACACTAACACACTTGTAGACATCAACAGTCTCTAAATCATTCTATCAAATATTGTTCTTTGTTTCATTTGTTCTACACACAGAGTGTTAGTTGTTTCTCCCCCTGCTCCCCGCGCATTTAACTTAGTTTATCACCTTTACAAAAGTCTTACCACTTATTTTATATTTTCTTATGATTTTTATTATTATTTATTTTTTATTCAACGACACCAGTTGTTAACTGTTTTTTATTATTGCATCTCCCAGGTCTACGTAACTGGACGGCTCCGTTGGTCACTTTTTACGATCATTGTGTCGCATAAACAAAAAAATTAAAAAGAAACTTGATTAATTTAGGCAAGCTAAGTTGTTCAAAATTTTGTTACATGTAACCATGTCTTGTTTAAGGCGACAAATTTATCGTAGTTCTAAACCAAGAAGTCTAATTCAATTAAAATATGAACATTTATTTAGCTTAGCGATTCTCTTAGTAAAACATCTTTGCACTCATTCCACTCTTTTGTTTATTTCAGAGCGGTTCGGCGACTAAACTGGAGAGCAGTATTCTAAGATAGGTCTTATGTAGGTAATGTAGGTTTTTACGATAACGCGTGGATTACGACTTTTAAAACACTTAAGGATTAAATACCCTCGAATGTTTGATGCGCGGACAATATTTAAAATATGATTATTGTAATTTAAGTAAGAATCCATAGTCACACCAAGATCTTTTGGGTATGTAGACTAGGTTACTTTTACTATTATGATCTCCTAATTGATAGTTGTAATTTATATCTTTACAAAATAAAGTAGGTGCTATTCTATGAATAAAACACTTATTATTGGTTAGTTTTAACTGCCATCATTTTTACCGTAAGATAAACTTTATAAATGGCAACAGCAAGATCGTGACTTTAATCGGCATCTTTAAATGAGCTATATAGCTTGATATCGTCAGTATATATAACATTAGAGAGCAATTAAGATCTTTAACAACATTGAAAAAGCGTTGAATATTCAAGTTGAGACATGATTGGTTTTTGGTTAAAATGGAAACGCAAATTGTTGAAACCAAAGGTTAGATCAACGTTGAAAACAAACCAAAAATCAATGTTAGATTAAACTTGATTTAGCGTTGACTCAACGAACTTATATACGAGTTTATGAACCTTAAAAATACAGTTGTGTGTTTTTGTGCCGTAACTCATGGGCAAACAAAAACAAAAAAATAATTTAAAAATTTTTAAAACAAAAAATTATACAAAATTAAATTAATTTTAAAACGGTGTTGATAAAATCATGTTATCACTATCTTCATTATGGGTATTAAATTCATCTGCATCTTTATCGTCTTCTGTCATCAGACTCTCATTTTAATTTGATGCACGTTTTGCAACATCCAATTGAAATGCTGCAAACTTCACCATCCAATCGATATGGTGCAAACTTCACCATCCAATCGATATGGTGCAAACTTCAAACAGTCTGCAATATATCTTCGTGCATCATGCTATTTCATTTTTAAACATCGGGTAACTGCATCTAAATAAAAACATTTTTAAAGTAAGATCTGTGTACATTTTACAAGTATTAATATACTTCACGTTATTCACAAGCGAATGTGAACATTAAGTGATCTATAATGGTAAAAAAACAACTCATTACTGACCCATGTCTAATTTACTTCAATATTTTGAGAGATAGCAACCTATTTGGATAAAGATACAAATATGCATCACATATACACTCATATAATCCAAATTATATATATATATATATATATATATATATATATATATATATATATATATATATATATATATATATATATATATATATATATATATATATATATATATATGTATATATATATATATATATATATATATATATATATATATATATATATATATATATATATATATATATATATGTATATATATATATATATATATATATATATATATATATATATATATATATATATATATATATATGTATATATATCGGTGGAAACAGCAAAAAAATATATAATATACATATCAATAACACCTTTGTAAATATTTAAAATTTGATATCCAATCTCTCTTGTTTGTTTTGTTTTAGATCTGATCAAATTAAACTTTGTTCTGAATATATTTACCATTAAATTTAATCAAAAAAAATGCAGTAAAAATACACTCAAATCAGAAATAAACTAAATTAATGAAATATTCAAAATCAAATAAACAAAAATTATTAAAATCATGGCAAAATTATGCAATAAACAAAAACAATGGATATCTTAATTAAGAACTTAAAAACCAGACATGAATAAAGCTTAGAGGTTAGAGTTAGCAAACAAACCAAGTGAATGGATTGAAAACTAATTGTATAGAGGTTAGAGTTAGCAAACAAACCAAGTGAATGGATTGAAAACTAATTGTCTGAGAGAACTCAAGTGGTAAAGAGCGATGAAGAAGAATCTGATAACTTGGAGTGTGATATTGCAGTGCTTCAGGGGTCTTTTTTAGGCCCCTTACTCTTTATTATATACATGAACGATACAACCAATGTAATCAAATATGTAAAAATCAACTTATTTGCTGATGATACATTAATATATATCAAAGTGCTAACTACGATAATGCAATTGTGAAACTAAATGAAGATCTCAAAGCTAGTACATTATGGTTAATTAACAATAAATTAAAACTGAACACAAAGAAATCAATGTTAATGTTAGTAACAAATTTCTTTTTTTATTCAACATTCGGTGAATAAAAAAAGAAATATATTATTGAATGAGTCATATGAATAAGTAATCTCGGATAATGAGAAAACTAAGTTCTCTGAATGAGGCAAATCTTTGGGCATTCAAGTCGATGAAAACTAAAAATTTACTAAACATATTAAATATGCCGCTAAGAAAATATTTAAAAAGTTGGGTTACTTATCAAGAATAGGTGGAAATCTAACCCAGTTGACTAAAAAGTAGCCCATAATGCAATAGTGGCTCCTCGTTATGAATATTCTGCCTCAATCTTTTTAAATGCAAATAAAGTTGATAATAAAATACTTCAGAAGTTATTAAATAAAGTTATGAGACTTTTAAAATGTGATTGGTATTCATATAGTAAAGAAATGTTGGAGAAAATTGGATGGCTATCAGTCAAGCAGGAAATCATATTTAAGGTTTGAAATTTTATTCTTGAGGTGGTAACTAATTAAAATAATAAAATATATGTGAATATGTTCAGAAAGAACAGTGACTTACATAAATACAATAAAAACAATTTTCATACGAAGAGCAAAACAATATAAGTGGGCAGAAGTCAATTTTCTGTAATGGACTCAAGCTATATAATTCATTACCTGAAGAAACAAAAAATATAAGTTTCAAATCAAGTGTGATAAAATTTATCAAAAATAAGTGGACAGATTAGGCGTAGATTTATCAAGGATATAGTTTCATAATTAGTGAATGAATAGGTGCAATTTTCAAATAATAACATGAAGTAAAAATTAGCATTAAACTGCTATCTTAAACAAGACAAGAACAACAACAATGATAAATACTAATTTAAAAAAAGTCATAATTTACACTATTTGTTATTCTCACAATGTTTATATAATTACATAAGCATTTTATAACCAGAAAGTTTTTTAGTTTTTTATTTTTATTTAAATTCAGCTTAAAAGCTTCGCATTACTAATAATTAAAATCAAAATATACTTTATGTTCTTTAGAGATCTTCATTTACCAGCTACTCCCTCAGCCTGAGTTTTATATGCATATGACATAATAAAGTAGATATATTTAAAGTTGACTTTATTGTACATTTTGCTACTATACTATCAAAGCCTACTAATATTTGTTTTTTTTACTATAAACTTTAAATTTTTGTTCTGTTTTATTGTGCAAGCACTCTTTTTTTATTTAACAGTGCGGCAAAATGCAAAATATGGTAAACAGAAATATCGACCTAATTTTGAGTTATGTTAACGCCTGCAAACCAGTTTATATATATTCTTATTTTACTTGATGTTAACACACATTTAAAACTTGAATTGCATTTGGGTTGGTAAATTTTTGATTGTTATTGTAAAGCATTAATGTTAGAAAGTAAAATAAAAACAAATAAACGTTAAAATAATTAACATTTGATTTTAACGTTGAGCTTTTATTGAAATAACGTTGAAATTTAGATGGTTTTTTTAATCATATATCAACCAAATTTTTAAGAAATTTGAGTTGATATATGGTTAAAAAAAATTTAAGACCTTTTAGATTATATGTTGTGTATAAGCTCCAAATGATGGTTTGATGCAAACAGATTATAAAACTTATACAGCTGATTCATAATTTGGGCATTTACTTATTATCTCATAAACATCATGAACCACAAAATTTGTCAGAATTTTGCTTATTAAGGTCTTGAGAAGCCAACTGCAGACGAGGAGGCCACTTAATTGTGGTTACCCTCTCTCGATTCTATAACTCCAAAACGCAAACCTTGACGAACAAGGCCGCTACGCGGAGAAACAAGTTGAGCGCGATTTAAATTAATTTAATTAAGATTAAATGGTCTTTAGTTTTATTCCTATAATTATAGATATGTTGTAATCATTTATATATATAACATGTTAAAATACCTTTAATTTCAACACATTTTAGTTCAAACTTAAGCCATCCACCTGTTGCTGTATCTTAATTTTTTAATGCAAATTTCACATTTCGATTCGGACAATGGACAAAACCATTCTTTATCCAACTTGATGGATTTTTATTCTCACAAGCAACACTGTTGACTATAAAACCAAAACACTCTATAGTTCCATAATTTAAAAATTTTGTTGGTAAATGATGGTTCCTTTTCATATAGCCATAATTTAAAGATTTTGATGGTACGGGATGCCTCACTTTTATATAGCCTGGCTAAATTGAGGAGAGCAACCATACTGTAAAACAATGTAAAAAGTCATAAATTTTTTATAATTTTTCTTATATTACACATATTTTCATAGCATATAATATTTTAATTTTTTTTTTTTTTTTATTACACTAATACTTTTATTAAAGTTTTTAAAGAACTATGTGCAATAATAAATTTTATTTTAATTTAGGACCGATACCAAAATATTAGTAAATTTACGTCGACAAACTTCAAATCAATTTCGACGTTTAAAAAAAAACAAAAAAACGTTGAAACAACGTTGAAATTTTCAACGTATATTTTTAACCTTAAAATAACGTTGATTTCTTAGTTATTTTTCAACCATATATCAATCGCACTCAACGTTGAAATAACGTTATGTGCTTGCTAAGGCATAAATAACAAACACTGTAACCATTATCCTTTCACGGCAACGAGAAGAATAAACCTTTTAGAGTTAAATAACATTTCGTTGGCATACAAGTCCATTTTTGGTAGTATGGAGTTAATTATACCACTATTTGGAATTTTTTATTCTCTAACATTTGATACACCACAATGAGTTATCAAAATTTTTTATTTCAACTATTACACAAAAACTTATTATTTTAACTACTACGCAAAAAATTATTTGTTCGTTATCTCAAAATGATTAATGAGTTTTTTATTATAAATATTTCAAGAAAAACGTGGTGCGTATAGAGACAGCTGATCTTTAAAATAACTTTTTTTTAATCTTATTTATATAAAAACTTTTAATAAAAACCATGCTCTTGATCGGAAAATACACGCTACCAGTATACTCGCGCCCACTTTAAACCACATACCATTCGCGTCCCATCTTTAAACTAGACGTATACCATTCACGGAAGCCCCAATCTCAGTGGAGAATATTGTTTCTTTTATCACCTCGTTTAAATGCTTTAGATAATTCAAGTATGATCAAAACCGTTACTCTTGAGTTATTATTACAAGGGGGATAGAGGGGGAGGTTTAATAATTTTTGGAAAATTTTTCCACCCACACTAAGCTTATTAAGACCATTCCACCCATTAATAAATTTTTGCTTGTTATCAGCAAAAAAATAAAATTTATAAAATCATATTAAACCCTATTGAAATTATGATAAAACAGCAATTAGAAATGCACATTTGACTGCAAGCCGCGCTACAATTGAATAGTTTTATGCTTGCTTTGCAAAAAATAATAGTATGGGTTTATAAATTAAAATTTTTTATAAAAAATACTTATATTGCTGCATGGCGTCTGATCGGAAGTTTTCACTAGCTGACCGATAGATATAGTTTAGAAGAAAAAGATGCTTTAGGCAAATTAAAAGTGAAGTAAAAGTTACAAAGAGTGTGAGTTATTGGTTGCTGAAAACTCTCAAAAAGTAAACTTTAGTGAAAAAAGGAGGAAGCACGTTAACAAATTCCCACGAAAAAATTATCTTGCAAGAGCTGTGAGAGAGTTTTATTTGGACCTTGAAAATGTTAAAGACATAATCCCGTCTTAACAAAAGCCAAAAACCTGAGAAAAGTTGCCTAAACCAAGTTGAGGTAGATGAAGATGGTGTAACTTCTTCTCCAACCAAATCAAAGTTTTGTCAAACAGGAGGACGACAAAAATTACCCATTCCAAATGTTAGACAGATTTTATTTGAATGGTTTGTAGACATCCGTGGAACCCTTAAATCACGTTTACTCCGGAAATTGTTAGCTGCAAAGTGCAACTTTTTTTATGAACAGTGGCTTGGCAAACAACTAGATGAGGTGCCAGAGGATAAGAGAATTATTTTCTCCGACCATTTGATAAATTACTGCACTGTTAAAAAATTCTCCGTAGATTCAACGGAGAATGTCCGGCAGCCAAGAAGACAGCACTTTCTCCGTAACCATTAACGGTTTCCGTAGTTTCTTTTTTCCGTAAAATTCACGGAAAAAGTCTGTTAAAAATGATACAGGACTTTCTCCGTAAAATTTACGGTTTCCGTATTTCATTTTTTCCGGAGAAAAAATGAAATACGGAAACCGTAAATTTACGGAGAAAGTCAGGCAGCAAAAAGACCGTACGGAGAAAGTCAGGCAGCACTTTCACCGTAATACTAACGGTTTCCGTATTTTAATTTTTTCGTATAAATTTACGGAAAAACTCCGTTAATTCATCAAATAGACAGTTCACTCACGAGTTTACGTGAAAGTAAAAAATAAATGAATAGAATTTATACGTTGTTATAAAAATGTAATTCAAATATTAAGACTCGTGAAGTAATTAAAAATTATAATATAATACATATCAAACACAACAACAACAAAAACTCAGTAGTTTTGAGTAATTTCGCCACACAAAAAACATTTAAAGAAAATTTATTTTAATCATATAGACCATATGCCAAACGCGCTAACTAACAAAATAATTTTTTTGAGTTAATTCCATTTCCACAATTTATACACTGAAATCTATTATCAATTTAAATTTTGTCCCATAAATAAAAAAATAACCCTATATATAATATATATATATATATATATATATATATATATATATATATATATATATATATATATATATATATATATATATATATATATATATATATATATATTATATATATATATATATATATATATATATATATATATATATATATATATATATAATAAGAAACAATATTATATAATAAGAAATAATATTATATTATGACAATTTATAATACAGACATAACAAATATATATGATATATATAATATATATATATATATATATATATATATATATATATATATATATATATATATATATATATATATTTATATTTATATATAAATATGTGTGTGCATATATATAAAGACACAGCGTTAGACATTCTAATATTGGGTTAAAAAATAATATAATGCCTTTTTTAAAATTTAGTGCATTTGTGACCTTGGTGACTGACTGAAAATCACCAATGATCACACCATTCATAACCTCCTTTCGAGCCTGTATGTATATTATATATATATATATATATATATATATATATATATATATATATATATATATATATATATATATATATATATATATATATATATATATATATATATATATATATATACACACACAGTAGAATCCCTTTAAGTCGGACTCTAAAAGAGAAAAAATAAGTAGTGAGCATTTAATATAAAAATCATCACTCTAAGCAGCCAAAAAAATGAGTCAGCTAGCCAGCCACAAAAGTGTTTGCTAGCTCATGCCATCAGCTAACTGGTCTAAAAATATTTTAGACAGCTATGAAAGTAAAATTTCGTGGCTAGGAGGTCTAGTGTGATTGACAGTATATTTATAGATTATCAAAATTAATTAGAATTTTATGTGAACGTGCTTCTTGAAAAACATGTAGCATTTAAGTTCCATTAAAAAATATATAAATAAATTAAAATATCTAACTTTGAAATTATAATTTGTATAATTTCTCCATATTTGAAATTACAATGTGTATTATAATATCTTCTCGTGAAAAAAAAAATGGCGCTCAGTAAATTAGAGATAATACTTAAGTATACTAAGATATACGGTAAAAGTCCGTAATTTACTTCTCCTTATCATAAATAGGTAGGCTCTCTTGTCAAACCCTTATTCTGACGCTGTCCTTAAGGTCCGAAAATGTAAAAAAACGACTTCTTCATTTAAAAGAGAACCTACCCACCCCAAACCCTCAGTCGTTTTTTACACACTCCGCTGCATGTTCTCTCTAAAAATTAGTTGGTGTATGTGCGCACCGCTGCGCAAATCCCTATATACCCCGTTTTGCCCTTTTCCTAGAAACACGAGTTCGCGGACGCAAAGGACGCTTAACGTCGGAATAGGGGTTTGACAAGAGTGCGTTCCTCATAAATACGGACAAAAACATATAAAATATTTAAAAAGGCCTAAAAGTACGGTAAAAGACCGTAATTTATTGGAAACGGCTTTTTTCCGTTACTGAACAACGGAAAAAGTCTGGTAAATACAACGGAGTTTTTTTACAGTGTGGATGAGTGAGCATGGTGTCAATGCGCACCATTCTAATAAATGCTTTCTAATAATGCAGGCGGACCGCAAAGAAAGAATATTTAAATACCTGAAAAACATTTGGACTGTACGTAAATACTTTATTAAAAATTTCGGAGTTAAATTACCTGTGCTGAACGGTGACCAAATGCTACTCCATCTGAATGAATGTTCTACTTAAATATCTTGAACTTCACTGGTTTGGATATATACGTTAAAGAAAATTGTTCTTTTTCAAGAGAATGAGTTATTGTTTACAATCAAGTTTGCACTGACCTAAAATCTCACTTAAACCAGTATTTGTCTTTTATGGCAAAGGTGTTCAGGTTAAGCTTATTTATCCTCAAGATGTGAAATTTAAATTAGCAACTAAAGGTTCCTATCAATTGGAACATACGCTGAGTACAATAGCTAATTTACGAAATAGGAACAATACTTTTATACATCAAATCAAAATTACGGGAGTTATGTTTTATATGATTATAGTGTTTATATAATGCTATATTTTTGTTGGAATAGGTAGTGCTGTTACAGTGGATGTTCAAATTAAGGACACAGACTTCGAGCGGCCTTTAAAAGTCAAGTACCGAGGGAGATGTATTATTTGTTTGTAAGGGAGAGAAATTAAATATATATTAACACGACAAAGAGCATCAGACAGAAGAGGAAACTGATGCAAATGTGGAAATAGGTGCGATTAAGAATCATGAATATGTAAGTACCGTTATCTCTTCCAACATTTTATTAGGTGATTTAAGTCGGGACAATAAAGGTTTAAGAAAAGATACAATTTTTATTGAGGAATTAGGAAAACGTTTAGGTAATGCAGAAACAACTAGCCAACCTAATGCACATCTTACAAGATTTAAACGGAACTATATAACAATCAGGAACGCTTTTGAGGATCTGTTTAAATAAAAATACTATTTTTATATATCTACTTCAAAAGTCTTTCATTTTTTTTTTGGTAAGTTGGGGGGATTAAAGCCACAATTAGTTTAATAGAACTAATTTTTATGTTTTTTTAAAAAAAAACAAAAAAAAAAACGACCCGCCTATTAATTTTGAACACAAAATCTTCACCCCTACTGTCAATACAACCGCCCGTTTATTAGATTTGAGAAAAAGGTCCCCCCCCCCCACCATTTATTAGACCTGGACTAAAAATCCCACCCCCTTTGTATTATGTCCTTGTAAAAAGACTCGAGAGTATCAATTTGTTCTACTTTTTTAAATATGGTGTGTTCAGCTAAACGGATTTTTTTTAAACCAGCTAAACGGATTGTTAATTAAAAAATCATTTATTATAAATTACTCGAACAAAAATTTTTGAGAAATATAGAAAATACTGATACTGGTCTATAATTATCTTTAGGTATTTTTTCGATCAATATTTTATATAAACTATGCATAACATTGCCAACTACAGGGAAAATTTAGGACGGTATTAATTGAATTCATAATGCGCAAACAAGCCAGAGAAAATGTACGCTGAAGTATAAGAATATATTAATATGGGAAGAGAGATACTGGCGCACGGTTAAAAGATTTAAAAAATTTTTAATAGTTTAATAATTCAAAAAATATTTTCTTATTCAAAGTAAGCGTAACTATATACAACTGTTAATTATAAACTAAATACAGAATGAGATCCATTTGAGATCCGAGAAAAATTTGTGATAATATTTAAGAACAATAATCTTAAATAAGTTAAGAAGTCAATATCGTCATCATATCTGATTTGAGTCATAAACTAATAAAGTAAAAAAAAAATACATTTTTTGGTTCTTTAATTAAAAAAAAAAGATTTCATAATGGTTGATTAAAAAAAAAAAGTAGCTCTAATTATAGTTATTCAAAAAATTTGAAGAATTTTTACAAAACATTACATCATGCGTTTTTGACTACTAATCGTTTTCGTTTATTTTCGATTGTTTCGTTATCTCTTATTTTCCTCTTCTTTTTACCTTTTGGAAAAACGAATTCATTTATTTTTGGTAAATTGCGTACCTTTTTTGGCAGTATTCGTTTTTGGCCCATCCATCTTATTCCATGAACTTTAAATTCGTGTAGAATTAGATCTCGTTTAGTGTTAAACAAACGATCACATATAAAACATGCAGGAGGACCTTTCACATTTTCAACTACACACAATGCATTTTCGTTGTTTTTCGGAACATTTTCAACATTTTTCTGTTCATTTATCTGAGAATTCTTTAAAACAGAACGTCGTCCTTTGCATTCATACCAATGCTTTACCATTGCTCCTTTGTAACTGAATTTCTTTTTGCACTTTGTGCAATTAGATGCCGAAACGGCTAATTTCGGTATGCCATTAGGCCAATATTCTAAATGGTTTTTTTCCATTATTTGATGACGAGTTAACATATGAGTTACTAAAGCTTTCCTACGAGCAAAAGTACGCTCACATTTTGGACAATCTAAGGATATCTTGGAATCAAGGGTTGAATAAGGTAACTTTTTTTTAAACAATGTTGGGGTTAAATCGCTTACAGTGCTGATAGATGACGTCGATTGATTTTCAACGGAGTCAATTGTTTTATGGGTTTTTCTAAAATGCACCAAAAAACCTCTATAATTGCTGAATAACTTCTTGCATTTAAGACATTTATGTTGTTGAGGAATAAGGTCTGAACATTGATTTTTAGTCGAAGTTATTTTTGCAGAATCCATAAGTTGAAAATGGCAATTATTTGGTTCGGAATTTACGGAAATATTTTTCTGAGAGAACTCTTGGGCTTTTTGATCAGACTCAGAAACAACGCTGCTGTGTTTGGTTTCATCAACAGACGGTAAATCTATACACTTTTCCCTCTTGTGAAAAAGTTTAGCCAGTTTAATTTTTTTAATATTATTGACTTTTTTCATACCATGAACACGAGTATGATGAAATTGAAGACCAATAGAGGTTTTAGTGACTTTATTACAAACTGAGCAAATAAACTTCATGTTTTTGTTAAGAATTGTTTTTGGAACCACTCGCTCTAAATTTTCTTGGTAATGAGTTTTTAATAAATCATTCGGAGTCACTTTTGTAGCTAACTTAGAAGCACCTTTGAAATTGACCTTGAGAGTAGATGACATACTGGAAGAGTTAGTAGATAAATTTGATGTCGCATCTGTTGTAGCAATTGAAAGATCAGTATGTTCCTTCTTTTCATGACAATTCAAATCAGATGTTTGCATTACTAAATCGCATTGGTCACGATTAAATTCATCGCTTTCTGGTTTATATTTATCACTTATCGGCTTCTTATGAAATATTAAGTTGTGGCTGTTCAAATCAGTCATTCTAATAAATATCTCACCACAGTCATCGCAGGATATTTTTGTATGCAAACGCTCAGTGTGATCCTTTAAGAGCATCCAGGTTTTAAAAACCTTAAAACATTTGATGCAGCGGTAACCATTAAACCTTTTATGATGGATTTTTAAATGTTGTTTTTTTAGCGCATCTGAAATAAAAAACTCTGCACAAACGTCACAAGTAAAAGATGCTACGCCTTGCATTTTCTTAACACACCTAAACTTGTGTTTTACCAGAAATTTATTTGATTTAAAAATTAACATACAACTTTTGCAGATATGTCCACCCTTATACTTTGATAACAGCTTTTTAGTTGTAACTAAATTGTTGATAGAAGAGAGATTTTCATTATTAGGAATATCAGTTTTTTTGTTTAAACTAGGACTCATTTCATTTTCTAATGTATCAGAAATAACATGTTCAATACCAATATGCTCTATTAGTAATTTATTAGAGTCAAAAGAAAGCTTGCAAAAACGACATTCATAAACAACTTTTACTGACTTATGGCGAACATAATGTTTACTAAGAGCATCTGCTGTTTGAAAGTTTTTGTTACAGTATCTGCATTTGAATTCTAGTGTAATTTCCTCATGCATAGAGATGTGATCTAATACAAAACTGTGATGCTCAAAAGGAGTACTACAAATACCACATCGAAACGGCATACGTACTTTATGTGTTTTGATTCTGTGTTGATTTAATTTCTTTAATGAAATAAAAACTTCTTCACAATCTTGACATATCATTTGAGGATCAGTTTTTCCACATGTATTTTTGTGGATCAAAAGTTCAGTTGCATTGTTAGACACGTGATCACATTTATCACAAAAAAAAGAATGTTTTTGAATGTTGTGCTCTTGAAGCATTACTTTAGAAATAAAATCATCACCACAAATTAGACATTCAAAAAAACCTTCAGTTGAACAAAAGTCTGGAAAAGTAGTTGTTTCAACATTAAAGTCACATTCCGATATTTGTCCCATTTTCAATTCAGTTTGAACACATGCTACTTGCAGCTGCTTTGGAAAAAACAGATTTTCAATGGGATCTGTTTGAACTGAAACTTCTTTTGTGCTCTTTAAAGGAATCAATAACAATCCTTCAAGACTACTTAATGATGAAACAATTGAATTAATGTCGTTGGCAGAATTCATTAAAACCATTCCATTATTTGGTAATTTAAATAAAGAATTATTAGCATGATTGTAATTGTTTAACGCACCTGCAATTTTACAAGGATTATCACTGAAGTAAATATTAGGAAGACCCTCTGGTGAACGAGTTGCTTCTGATAAAACAAGGTTAGATTTTTGTGTAGCAAAACTTGATGACTGACTAAGATTATTTTGCACAGTTGAAGTAAAGCTACCAAATGTCAAAGTACTGTGTGATTCTAAAGCATTTTGAATTGTTGATGAAGAACTATGATTCATTACTGGAAAATTTAATGTGCTATGAGACTGAGGTAAAACTGTTGAAATGCAAGTTTTATTTGCTAAATCATTGCATCTTAAATGTTTGTGGTATAGACAATCAGTGTTAAGACAACACAAATGGTGATGACCCTTTGCTTCTAAATACTGACAAAAGTTTTGGATAGTATTATCCTGTGATAAAGTATGTTCTTGAGAAGAAATTATTTGAACTGGGGTAACAGGAAAATAATTAGATATTGAATTTGAGATCAACCTTTCACCAATATTTTGAGGAACAAACATATCTTCTACTGGTTGATAAGTTGTTCTTGCCAAAGAAACTGGTCTAGGAGTACATTCAAAAATTTTTTGTGAATAATCTTGCTTAAAAGTTTCAGAATTCCATACAGACATATCAAATTTATTAACTGAACGTGGATTAGTTACTTCAATATCTGGTGACCAATTATTTTGTAAACTACTATAGTCATCATCATAAGAGTTTTCAAGAACTTTTACACTTTTATTATGAGAGGTTTTTAACAAAGGATTGTTTTCAATTTGATAAGAAGTACAACTAGAAGTTGGTTCTGGTTTTATATGACTACGTATGTGAGCCACTAAACGATCTAGTCCAGTTTCACTGAAGTTACATATAGAGCATTGCATAGTTTTGACATTTACTTCTTTAATATTCATACCTATAATAAACAAAAATAAATTGATACATATTACTTTACAACAAAATAATCGTGATAGATAATTTATTGAAATATATTATTTCTTATGGATAATCAAATTTTATTAATTTGTTATTTATTTAAAACTTTATTTTAAGTTGATTGTTTACAATATATTTAGACTATGGGTGGAAGTACTAATTTTTTAAGACTTAATGGCAGGGATTTTTTGATAAAAAGATCTAACATTTTTAAACCATTTGCAGATTTAAAAACTTCAGTTAACTTTCAATAAATTCAGTTAAATTTCAATAAATTTGATACTTTAAATTGGATACTTGGGATATTTTCTATTTTTTGAATTTTTTCTAATGGGAGATCAAATCTTTTATAGACAATGTGAAGTCCTTTTTGATGAATTTTATTAACTAGGTTGTTATAATACTTCGAACAAAACATCCAAATCAAAATATCCAAATCAAAGGACAATAGGAAAAATTTGACAGTATTGAATTGCATTGAATAAAACAGAAGCTTGTTTTACTGATAAAAAGCTCCTTCCTTCAAATCCTTATCAATTGTAACCCTGAGAAGTTTAACCTTAGAGGAAACCATGATTTTTACATTTTCAACCATTAAAAATTGGTCAATTTACAATTTTTTAAGCCAGTTAAAAAAAAAAAGAAATTTGTGCAGTTTTGCAACCATTTTATTCAAAGTAAACCATGAAATCGCGTTTGATGTTTTTATTTGAAGACGAGCAATAACACTCTCTAGGTTGTTGTCACAAACAGAAAGAGTGTTGAGTGTTCTGAACACTCTCTGAAAGCAGTGAAAGAGTGTCGTCAGCATAGTTGCAGATTTCAGAGTCTTTTATAAATAATAAAAAATCGTTGATAAAAATATTAAAAAAAACTGGTCCCAAAATTGAGCCTTGAGGTACACCAGATTTCATACCTAAATATTCAGAAAATGATGATCCTAGTCTTATCCTCTGTTTGCAAGCATAAAGGTAAGATATTAAGAGTTTGAGACTATCGTAAGAAAACCTATAACCTTCCAACTTAGCTACAAGCAAATCATGTGGAATTGAATCATATGCCTTTGATAAATCCATAAGCATAGCGCCAACTATACCTCCTTTATCCAAGCATTATTGCCACTTATTAACTAAATTAAAAAGCGCCTGCTGTGTACTGTAGCCTCTCCAAAATCTACAGCAATTTGTTAAAGCATGGCTCTATAAAAACCGGTATTTGTTCGTAAATAATGATTTCAAACACTTTTGAGAGAACTGGCAGAATACTTATTGGGCCGAAGTTACACTTATCAGTAGGGTCATTTTTTTTAAAACATGGCATGATATCAGCTATTTTTAAGAAGGAAAAAAAAACAAAAGTAAAATATATATACATATATAAAGAATAGTAGGAAACAGACTAAATAACTACACTGAAAAACAAATATAGAAATAAAACATAGAAAGTGGGAAAATATCAAAATGACAAACTCATTCTAGGTTATATTTAAAATATATTTTAATATCACCTATAATACAGAGCAAATTAACATGTATTAAATAAACATTGGTAGCTTTGATTTTTAAGCTATTTTGAAAGATTAAACAAGTTGCAACTTGCGTCAATTTTGAAAAAATTGTCTATTATCTTGTTGTTCTGAAACACATGGATTGCAATAAACTTGCATTATTAGAAAAATGTTGGCATAAAAATTCTTAGCACTGTAATAAATAATAAGTAATAGATGTTGAACATATAATATGCTACTTTCTATTGATAGTATTAATTATAATAAAACTTTAATATAATTTCGCTTTGAGGCCGAACATGAATAACTTAAAAAATAAAGATTATTTTATAATATTAGGGATTTGTTGAACAAACATGACAAACCTAAACAAAAAAAAAATTTGATAATTTTAATAAAAAAAGATTTGTTAAAGGTTCAAGGGAATCCTCAAAATATATTTTTTTCATTTAAAATTTTTTTATTTAAGTGCGATTTATATATAGAACACATTTAGGTTGTATGTATAGGGATTTTATTGCTTTTTGTGATACACTAACACATACATATATAATATATATAATATACATATATATATTTAATATATATATATATATATATATATATATATATATATATATATATATATATATATATATATATGTATATATATATATATATATATATATATATATATATATATATATATATATAATGTGAAGTGACCATAGGGTAACATGCGGTTGTGATGTAGTGGTAGAGCACTCGCTTGATAAGCAAGAGGTTCTGAGTTTCATCCCACACGTCCCTGATAGTACTGCGCTCAATTCGTTTCTGTGCGAAGCAGCAGCCTTGTTTGTCAAGGTTCGACCTATTTGGATAAATTATATATTATATATGATATATTTAGCGATATATCAGTTTAAAGCCATCTAACATGTGATACCTAGAAATCCATACAAAACTAAAAAACTTATAACTTTGAGACTAAAGGTACAAGTTTATTTCTGTAAAAAAATAATTAAGGTTAAGCATATGAAGCTTCAGATTTCAAAAAATTATAAGTTTGTCATGCCATTTCTGCGAACTTTGTCCACTCGGCTGGAAGAAGCCTTGCCAAGTCGATGTACGTGATCTTGACTGATCTGTTTTATGCAGTAGTTGATCCTGTCAGTGAGCTGGCCCACGACTTTTCGCTCTCTAGCCCCAATCATATACTCTTCGTTTTAGTTCTGATCAAAAGTCTTCAATTGGTTGGTGTTCTGGCACATTAGCAGGGTTGCGCTCCTTAGGCTCGAATTTGATGTTATTCGCTTGGAGGAATTCCTGAAAACGATCTCATCAATCTTATGAACTGTTTTGATGAACGGAATTAAGCGCTTCATCAAGCACTTCTGGATGTAGACATCTTGATGATCGCTTGGCCCGAAGGTTTCCCCAGGTGCTTAGACAGGCCGTCTTCGGACATAGCAATCCAAACAAGTACCTTTGGCTCGAACTTGGACTTGCACTTGAGTTTAACAGCTTTTGGAGTCATTTTGACGTCAGACGTGTAGAAACCAGTTTTTCCAAATAGCTCGTTATTGCTCAACGAAAAATAAGACTCGTCGTCACCTTTTTCTGTAAAACTCTGGCCAGGTGGGCACACTTCGGACGAACGACTAACTTCTGTTGTCGAGTTTAATCCGGAACTTTTTCCTTTATTTTGTATTTGATTGTTGTCTTAGTGCTAATTGTTTTTGATATGTGCTTTTGGCTGACACCATACTCGCGGGCTAGCTGATGCTGGCTAACTCCGTCACTATGATAGATTTGCTGTTTCAGCATGGTGATTCGCTTTGTGTTCATCTTAATTATCACCCGTCTAGTTCCACGCTGTCTTTCAGGGCCTATTTTGAGCATCTTGCGCTGCAGAATATCATACAGGGTTGACCTTGATGAGCCTTTGATCATAAAGTGTCTCACAATCTCACTTTTCTTCATATCCGGATGCAAATTGATTAACGCGTACACACGCTTTCTTAGGTCTTCCTGTTTTGAGATAATTTTCTTTGCCATTATAAATAATTGTTTGCTAAAAGATATATTGCAATTTGTAGAGAGTTAAATTAACTAAAAAACAGCATAAGTTGCAACAATTTTGCAACACTCCTTAAACAATTTATGTTGACCGAACTTTTGTCCGGATTTCTAGGTATCACATGTTACATTGACAGCATCAATAAACCTAACCGGTTGGAAGATAAGGAGCAAGATTATTAAAGCTTTACTAGTGATTCCTCATACTTGCCAACAGCAAACATCCATTTATAAAGTTGTTACTACAACAACAAGTAATCAGAAAAATGAACTGGGTTTGCAAGTTGCAAATTTTTTCTTTTCAACAAATATTCCATTAAATCTAGCAGTAAATCTTGAAAACACCAATCTGCTTAAAAACTCATACCTGTATACAAGCCACTAAATAGAAAACATGTACCTTTAGAACTTCAAGTAAAGTTAAATGAAGAAGTAATCAATTAAATGAAAAATGATCTTACTAATGATTGTGCTGTTACCCTAATTCAAAATGGTAATAGTACAGCTATTAATGATCCTATAATTGATGATAGTATCCATAATAGAAGCAAACCCTGTTGCATTTCTGCAGTTGATACCGGAACCGAATCAAAAACAGCAGACTATTGCATTTAGATTGCTAAGAATCAAAGTTGCATAATAAACAATTAACAAAAATATAATAATGTTAATAAAGTAAAAATGTAAGTAAGATAGCTGTTTAATGAAAAGTGTGCCTGTGTGTGTGTCTATATATGTATATATATATTGATGTATGGTGTATACTATTGGAAATACAACTCTTGCTTACCTTAACCCATACGGCTTTTTTAGAAAAAGCCGTATGGGTTTTTTTTAAAAAATTTTAAAAAAAAAAATTTTTTTTAAATAAATTTTTAAAAAAATATATATATATATATATATTTATTAGACCATTTCAAAATTGCATTAAAAAACTTTCGAACTTTAATTGAGCACTTAGACTTGATGTAGTTTGTGGTCAGGAAAATTAATTCAAAATTGCAAGCCTAAATAATACGAATTTTAGGGACGGCTCAACCAGAGTTGTTAGTCCTAAGCCTTGGTTGGCTTAGGGCCAAAAATTGAGGCCTTGGCCTTGAAAATTTTGGCTTTGGCCTTGATTGTTTTGGCCTTGCTTGAATTTGAATTGTGGTTTTACTGTCACAGCACTTGTTACTTACAGTTTTGTTAATATTTGGCCTTAACTTAAGGCAAAAATTGAAGACTTTGTTATTGAAAATGTTTGTGTAGGCCTTGGCCTTGAAATTTTTAATCTTGACCTTGACCTGAAAACTCTAGGCCTTGACCTTGTCCTTGGTCTTGTAACTTTTAGCCTAGGTTTTAGCCTTGCTATTTTTAGCCTTATTAACAACTCTGGGCTCAACTAACTTTAATTTTTAACAGATCTCTAATATTATGAATTTTTTTTTTTTTAAAGTGTCATCTTGGGTCTTAAAAATAGCGAAATTATATAAAAATTTCAAAAAAGTAAATAATCATTTTGTACTACAATTATTTCTTTAGATTTAATTAAATAAAAACTATGACGTTTCTAACTAGAGATTAAAAAAGTGCATTTTTACAAGTTTTTAATAACAAAAAAAATTTTAAACATATTTTTTATAAAAAGATTAATATTGTTGAAATTTATATATTAGCTTGCTTCTTTTAAGTACCTGGTCAACCAACTTTTAAAGACCTTTTTTTTTTTTTTAAACTAGGACACCATCGAAAATATATATATATATATATATATATATATATATATATATATATATATATATATATATATATATATATATATATATATATATATATATTTATATATATATATATATATATATAGGCCTTGGCAGGAAGCGAGAGCTTTAGCTCTCATTCTTGCTCAAACTCCCCTAAAACGTTTTACGGGAACAATATACAGCTCTCGAAAAAGTGTTTTTTTCCCCCTCAAAAGTATAATTATCATTTTAACTAAAATGAAAAACGCAAAGTCAAAAAAATTTAATTAATTAGATAAAAAACAGGCACGGTTTTTGCAAAAAAAAACATTTTACGTTTAAAGAATTTTTCATGTTGCAATAAATGACACTTGTTATGTGTATATTATTGTAACATTAACGTTACAAACATATCTATCTATCTATCTATCTATCTATCTATCTATATATATATATATATATATATATATATATATATATATATATATATATATATATATATATATATATATATATATATATATATATATATATATATATATATATATATATATATATATATATATATATAGACACACACACACAAACACACACACAGGGTGCATGGTAGTCACAAAGTTTTTCCCATAAACTGTTGTTTTAAAGAGTGCGTTAATAAACCTGACCAGAAAATGTTAAAAAACTTTAAAAAAAAATTTTTTTTTTTTTTATAAATGATAGACTGCCTGCCCAAACCAAACCCTCAGTCGATGTAGCAGCAATCCCATGTGAGTCAGGCTAGTTGTCAGTTGATGAAGCAGCACTCCCTTGTGAGTCAGGCTATTTGTCAGTCGATGTAGCAACACTCCCTTGTAGCAGCAGGCTATAAGATAGTCGATGTAGCAACAATTACGCATGTTTTAAAAATGTTTTCTAATAATACAAAAACAAAAACACCACTAATTAAAAAAAACTTTCTAGTCATTATTATAGCTGTTTTTTTTAAAAACAATAAAACTTAATGTACTTCCGCATTAATTTAATTGCTTTGACATTTCGACGACAATAAAATGCAGCTTAAGAGACCAGGTGAAAAAATTTTAAAAGATAAAGTTTAAAGTCAATTAATTCGCCTTTTGTCTTAATGACTGCTAGATATCTTTTAGGCATTGAATCTATTAAGTTTTTTATCTTTGTGGATCAAATTTTTTAAACTTCTTAATGAGAACTGTTTTTAATTAAGACAAACTGGATGGTTTTTGTTCAGTTACTTTAATATTAAAAAGATTCCATAAATTTTCAATTGGATCAAGGTCTGATAACAGACGAACCCAATCTAACATCTTAATACTGTTTTTTAGAAACATTAAGTAGTTAACTCGATTGTATGTTTTGAACCTCCGTCCTTTTGTAATATGAAATTGCGAGATAAGCTTGTTTTTGTGGTGCTTAATCACAGCATTTTATTAAATCAGTTGAAACCTCTTTTGTCATTATTTTGTAAATAAACTTGAGTTCAAAAACACCACTCTAGGCAAAGGAACCATCATTAGTTAATAAAAGAAAAAAACAAGTTAAAAGTGTAAAGAATATTGCAACATTGCTTAATGGTACCTCCTCTATTTGTAACTGTTGATCTTATATATTTAGGATTTAGACATTCATCATTTTTTCTCCATTTGCCTACAATACCATTAGAAACAAACAAACATATTTTTGATTCATCTTACCATAAAACATTGATCGATATCACGTATTGTTTAAAAGCCAAGATATCCGCGCACTTGATTGATACAAATAACAATAGAAAAACAATAGAGAGCAGATGTTAACTATTTTTAACTTGAGAATATTTTTATTTGATTTTGCGTCTAAGTTTTATTAATAACAAGTTCTTATTAAAAATCGCTCGCGTATCAAATTTGTTATTTTAAAACAGATGAGCTAATTCTGATCAACTAAAATACATTAATTTTTAAAAAAAGCTAGAGTTTTGCATGTAATTACACTTTTTAAAAAAAGTAGTTAGAAAAGTGAAAGTAAAGGAAAAACGTCGGTTTATTTTTATAAATCATTCAGAAAAATGACGCTAAAAATTATAGCTCACATAGGATTTTGTTTACTCGCGGCGCCTCAGATCTATAACAATGGATTGAACGTCCATCTATTAATACGTCCTTGGTTTGAATAAGTTTAATCAATTTTTTTTTTTTTACGATTTTTTCCTGCAATTTTTCTGCAACTCATACAACAGAAAAGATAAAATTATGAGGTGATTTTCTGATTCAATGGTTAATGTTTTTTTTTATAATTATAAAAATATTTATAATTGTAAACAATTTTTTTTATAATTATAAATATTTCTTGTAATAAAAGTGTTATTTAATACATATTTTACTGTAACAAAATACTAAAAAATTTAAATTTAAGCATAAAAAAAGTGCCTTCTATTGAAAAATCATTTGGCAATATATATATATACATATATATATATATATATATATATATATATATATATATATATATATATATATATATATATATATATATATATATATATATATATATATATATATATATATATATATATATATATATATATATATATATATATATATATATATATATATATATATATATATATATATATATATATATATATATATATATATATATATATATATATATAGGTTAAATTAAATCTTGAAAACTTTAATGAGTTCACAAAAAAATTAAATTCAAATTCAAAAAAATACTTTTTATTAAAAAACTAACAAATCAGTTTCTAATAAATTCAATCATTAACATAAAGTTTTGATATAGCTATAAAGATAAACAAGTAAAAATTATATATTAGTTAAATTTTATTAGTGACAAGGTTTACTAAATTCAAGTAATTCTTAAAATGCAACAAATTGAAAGATCTTTTATGTAGGTTGAGGTTTCCATAATTGTTATCTGTTTGTTATAAATGTGCGTTTAAAATATTGTTTGAAAATGTTTTTGTATAATAATTTATTATTTTGTGTATAAGTGCTACTTAATATTCCATTTCTAACAATAGTTGAATGTTGCAGTGATGTCTTGATCTGCAAAGCCAAAAAATACTAGTTAATAAAAAAAATGTAAGAAATTTGTGCAAGTCAATGAATCAAGACTTAAAAGGAAGCTTTAAAAGCTAAGTTAGAGCCAACAATCATTTTATTCATCTGCTATTATATTTGGCACTAAAATCTGGATGTAATATAGTAGACAAAATTGATGGGCTTAACTGTTCAGATAAAAGATGAGTTGGAATAGTTAGTAAACTATTTTTCAAAGTTTGATAATCTTGAAAGAACTCCCCTCCTAGAGCCTCTAGATAATATCAGTGAGGATTTTGTTAAGTAAATGAGCACTGATAGCTTTTTTTTTTTTTTTTTTTTTACATCTTTACTTGCAACAAGGCTAGAAGCAACCACTATTAGAGTGGGAAGTTACTAGAAGAGAAAAGATGAAATTTATAACAATTAACAGATTATTTAAAAGACAGCAAATTGTCTGAATCAGGAAAACGAGATGAAGGGAGCAAATTCCAAAGAACAGATGTCCAAAGAAAAAATGATTGGAAGTAAGAGTTAATCCTAGAAGACAAAAGGTAGATGACTCATCAAGTACATTACTGTTCATAAATATAAGATCTAGAATGTTGCGATAATGATTAGCTAAAAAAACTCAGTTTTATCTGAGTTAAAAGTTCACCAGCCACTGAGATCTTTATACTGTAGCAAAAGTGAGATCCTTTTTGAGCTCAAATTCCCCCTTCAAGCAATTGGAGAGTGTTGGCTTCTTATCAAGACAAGAATAAATGTTACTATCATCAGTGAACAATGACACCTTAGGTGTTAAAATTTCAGAGAGATCTTCATGTAAATTAACT